AAGACCAGCCTAGCCAACATGTCTCTACTAAAAATACAAAAAATTAGCCAGGTATGGTGGCATGTGTCTGTAGTCCCAGCTACTCAGGAGGCTGAGGCAGGAGGATCACTTGAACTTGGGAGGCGGAGGTTGCAGTGAGCTGAGATCACACCACTGCACTCTAGCCTAGATGAGAGTAAGACTTCATCTAAAACAAAAAAGAACCAATATATATATTATGTATATTATGGACCAATTTGTTAATATTGTGATGCCTAAATTTATAGTGGAAAAACTATTTGCAGTATTACATACAGTAAAGTTAGGAAATGGCCTCTAGAAGTAATATAAATATGTCTAATACAGTCTTTTCAATAATATATTTCCTTCCTTCTTCTACCCTTCATTTTATCCTTAGGGAAAAAAAAATCCTATCCTGATAGACATTAGTAAAGATAATTACATTGTTTCACATTATACCTTTTGCTCACGACCATCCATAATATGGATTTTTGGTACATTTTGTTTCAACAGAGGCAGTAAGAACTTTATCTTTTTCAATAACTAATAGGCTCAAAAGGCTCCTCCATCTCTAATGTTGTTATTCTTAGAGTCCTAGAAATGAGAGATGGAAAACTTCAATTAAATTCATCTAGTCCATCTCCCCTGGCAATGAAAAAAATGTATTTCATATTATATTATCTAATGCTTTTTCAGGCCTTCCAAGATAACCTTAGGGAGACTGTCCAATTGGCTAATAGACCTCACTTTCAGGTCTTTGTTTTGACCCATCATTTCTCATTCTTATATTCCTTAAAGCCATCATCCTTAATATTCATACTTCGTTAACTTGAATGAGATTATCACAGTCTCTGTTAGAATTAAGAAAATCAACATACTCTACTCTATAGAGTATTATATAATTATGTCAATTTACAATAAAAAATTTTTAAAAATCAGTGTACACCCCATTATTGGGAACTGAAATGTTCTACAGGAGTGAATTTTCCAGATGCTAAACTTTTCTTCCTTAACCACCAGATTTTGTGTTGTTTTAATAATTTCGAGGGACTTTTCTCTCCTACGTAGTAATTATTTCCCTACTTTCTTGAGTGAATTCAACTTTTCTTAATAATTCATGTTAATCGTTATCAGCATTCTGCAAATATATATTAAGTAGCCCACTGTATGCTAAGCACTACAGAAACACCAGAAATACAAAGATGAGCTCAATGTGTTTCTTTTCTATTTGCCTTCAGGAGTTAAGATTCATAGGGAATATGAAATAGGAATAGAATTAATTATAGGTCAAGACAGGGGAAAACAGTAGTATAAATAGTTTAGACAATCAGAAGTAAGAGAGACTTAAGTCCTATTAATCAAGAATAGTTTCCTCAGGAATTGTTATTTGAAATAAATGACACAAGGACAACTGAGTAACCATGTGAAAAAAGATAATATTAGATGTGTATCTCATACCTTATGCAAGAGTGAACTACAAATGGATTAGGGATCTAAAATGTGAAAACAAAAACAAAGCATATCTAGTAGAAAACATGGATGAATTCTCTAACCTTAATGCAGGGAAAAACTTTCTATAATGGTTGCTGAAAAGCCAGAGGCAATTTTTAAAAAGCAGATTGATAAATTTGATTATACAAAAAAAAAGTTTAATAATTGCATGACAAAAAATATAAGAAAGTTAAAGTTAAAAGACAACCAATGAATAAATTGGGAGAAAATATTTACAACATCTAAGAAATTATTAAGGCCAGGAGTCGTGGCTCATGCCTGTAATTCCAGCACTTTGGGAGGCCACGGTGGGCAGATCACGAGGTCAGGAGTTTGAAACCAGCCTAGCCAACATAGTGAAACCCCATCTCTACTAAAAATACAAAAAATTAGCCAGCCATGGTGGTGGTTGCCTGTAATTCTAGTTACTTGGGAGGCTGAGGCAGGGGAATCGCTTGAATCCAGGAGGCGGAGGTTGCAGTGAGCAGAGATGGCGCCATTACACTCCAGCCCAGACAATAGTACAAGACTCCGTCTGGGAAAAAAAAAAATTAAGAGACAAGTGACTAAGACCCAATAGGAAAACTGAAGAAAAGAAAGACATGAATAGGTAATAGGTAAAAAAACTTCTATGCAGCATATTATTTCATGCAGAAGTATTATTTCACCTTTTTAGTCTGACAGAAACTATAAAGGATGACAGGCCAGGTGCAGTGGCTCAAGCATGTAATCCCAGCCCTTTGGGAGGCCGAGGCGGGTGAATCATGAGGTCAAGAGATCGAGACCATCCTGGTCAACATGGTGAAACCCTGTCTCTACTAAAAATACAAAAAATTAGCTGGGCATGGTGGTGCGTGCCTGTCGTCCCAGCTACTCAGGAGGCTGAGGCAGGAGAATTGCCTGAACCCAGGAGGTGGAGGTTGCGGTGAGCCGAAATCATGCCATTGCACTCCAGCCTGGGTAACAAGAGCAAAACTTCGTCTCAAGAAAAAAAAAAAAGGGATGACCACAAATTCTGTTGACAAGGTTGTGGGAAACAGACACTCTCATACATTGTTGAAGGGAAGGCAAACTGGTACAACCCTTCTAAGAGGGGATTTAGCAAGATTACATATACACTTACTTTTTGACCTGGCAATCCCATTTCTAGGAATCCAACCTGAAGATACATCTCCACCATTATGATAATACATATGCACAAAGGTATTTATGCAGCATTGTTTTTTAATTGCAAAATATTGTAAACAACCTCTATGCACATTAATAAGAGGGCAATTAATCTATATGTAGAAAGTAGAATAGTGGTTCCTCCCACATCTCCCAAGATGTCTACGTCCTAATACATGGAAATTGTTTATATGTTATGTGACAAAAGTGACTTTTGCAGATAGGATTAAGGCTAAGAACCTTGAGATAGGAAGATTATCCTAAGTTATCCAGATAGATCCAGTCTATAATCACGAGGCCTTAAAAGCTGAAATGCTTTCATAGAGATGCAACATTACTGGCTTTGAAGACGGAAGAAAGGCCATGAGCCAAGGAATGTGAGTGGCCTTTACAAACTTGAAAAGGCATAAAACAGATTCTCCCCTAGATCCTTCAGAAAGGAATGCAGACCTGCTGACACTTCGATTTTAGCCACGTGAGACCTGTGTTGGACTTCTGACCTACAGAACTGTAAGATAATAAATTTGTACTGTTTAAACCACATTTGTGTTTATTTGTTATAATGGCAGTTGACAACTAATACAGTGGAAAACTGGTAAAATTAGAATTAGGTTTGTGTTTAGGTCAGCATGATACCTGTGTTTATTTCTTAGTTTTCATAACCATACTATGGTTATATAAGATAACATTAGGGGAAACTGGGCAAAGGAAAACTGTGCTATTTTTCCAAATTTTTTGTAAATCTATAATTACTTCATATTGAAAGGAAAAATAATCAAGGATTCCTTCCCTCGTCAGTGTCCTTTCCCCACTCTACCTCATTAACATCCCCTTAAGAAGTTCTCATGTCTTCTTGTTATTTGTGAATTTCCAACCAAGCTTTTAACCCAGCGGTTCCCAAGCCATATGTCCACATAAAGACTTATTCATAAATGTTTATGGCAACTTTATTAATATCTCAAAACTGGAAACAACTCAAATGTTCATGAGTTGACAAATAGTTAAACAAATTTTGGTGTACTCATACAATGGAATAAAAAGTAGCAAACTACTTATACATGCAATAGCATGCATAAATTTCAAAAACATTATGCTAAGTGAAAAAAAACTACATACTGCATAATTCCATTTATGTGACATTGTGGAAAAGATAAAACTATAGGGACAACTCAGATTAGTGGTTTCCAGGGACTGAGGGTGAGAGGAAGAGGTTGACTACAGAGAAGCATGAAGACATCTTTGGGGTGATAGAAATGTTCTGTATCTCACTTATATTGGTACAGTATACGTTTGTCAAAATTCATCAAGCTGTAATGCAAAAATAGTGACTTGTTTTTTGTAAATCACACCTCAGTAAACCTGTTTTAAAAGACATGTTTTAAAACAAATTATGTAAAAAGTTGGACATAAAAGGTTTGAAATAATATAACAAGAAGATAATAAAAATCTGACATAACAGATTCATGAAAATGAATTTGTAAGAATGTAATTAGTTAATAAAGTATACTTGATAGCTTCCATTGGCCCCTCTAGCAAATCTTAACATATCAATATGTGTTTTAACATGTTATAACATATAACACCTATAGTATATATTTTATATTTTAATATAATTATGCATAATATAGCATAATGACATCAGTATGTCAACATCAATTAGATCTGATTAATGGATATGTGTTTATTAACTTCTGTGCTTTGTATGTTTAAAAGTTTCATAATAAAAGTTTTAGTTTGCATAATTTAAAAAGAATCACATTGAATGCTTGTTAAAATTGTAGATCACTGTGCCTCGATCCCAAAAATTATAATATATTAGATCCCGGCTAGAAAAATAATTGTGCTTTATGACAGAACCTTTTCTCTTTCCTTTTGATGCTTAAATTTGAAGAAAAAAAAAAAAAGAAGAGGAGAAGAAAAAAAAACCTACTAGGGATAAACTATACTGAAACTAAACTATATAGCACTTTGCAACTATTTCTTGTTTTGTTGTTATTCTTGTCATCTACAGTTTCCCTTCCTGTTTGGACTCCCAAATAACCAGAAGATAAACTAAGTAAAATATGAAGACTAGAAAGTAGACTTTAATGATTTTAGTTACTCTCCTCCTTTTTCCTTGTTAATTTTTTAGAATTATGTTTCAATCAACATTTAGTGACTATCTACAAGTTTCTAAGTTATATTAGGAAAGCAAGGAAGGGAATTATTTATATATGACACACCTTTTTTTCTCAAGTAATTACAATCCATGATAAAATGAACTAAAATATATACAATACATGGAGGTTTTTAATTTACTAATAAACTAAAACTTGAAAAGCAAGAATGAAAACAATTCTCACCTGGGTCCTTTCTAGTTGACATGGTGGCATTTTCTTATTGTGAATCAGGTAACATTTTGAGAAATTGCCATTTAAAATTACTTAATCACTTAGAATTGCTATAACATTGTCTTAATCCCTTTTGTGGTCAGTGATGTGAAAAGGTCTCAAGCAGAATTAAAGCAGGGTTTTGTTGCACATCCTTGTATTTTTTTGTATTTTTTATAAAGGAGATGACATGTTTCTCTGTCTCCACTTCTCCCTGTCTTAAGGGAATGCAGCAGTGCTAGGATGCATTGTCCCTTATTACCCGCACTGAGGCTTCTGAGAGCAGTTGCATAGCAGCAGTTTTATTTCAGTTACCAGTCATTCCCAGCTAGCTGAGTTCAGTCTTCAGGGAATACTCCAATTTGCAGGTGGCCAACAACTTTAGTTATCATTGTCTTAACATTTATGAAGCTCCAGAGAAAGGCAATATTTGGCTTTTTCTTTCACTGACAGTTGCTAATTTTAAGCCTTATTTTGAAAGAAAATAATGAGTACTAACTAATTAAGTCACCTTAGTCATATCAATTGCTATGACAATGTAGCTTTTTTTTTTAATGATGAGCCTTTTACTATTTTAAGAAGTATAAATGGTAGCAACAGCATTTCAAAAAATTGGATAGGGTAGGATTTGTTTTGAGTGTTATATTAGTATGCTTTCAGATTAGATTGGTGTCAGAAGGGTGAAATCAGTTTATTTACATTCTTTCTTTCTTTAGTTTCCATTTATATTGTTGGATTTTTAGAATACACTTAAAGGAATGTTATTCACACTCTTCACATTTTTATAAGGCATGGATATCATAACTATGTAAAAGAGGAAAAAGCATTTTCCTCTAGGCATCCACCTATTTTTAAATTTTATATTTGGATTTTTTTATTTTATACTTAGTAACCACAGAATTAGTTACATATAAAAGCCATTTCAATAAGGTTTTGATTTTACTTCAGTTTAATTATATAGCTAGGAATCCTAGGGGCAAATTCTTGTAAGTCAAATGACACACTGATAGTTTTTTTGCTTTTTGAGTTTTGTTTTTTATTTGTTTGTTTGTTCTGCTTTTTCCCCCTTATTTTGAATTGTCATATTACATTTCTGGCTATTTGTGATGTATAATTTTATAATAAGGTATCTGTAGAAGTTACATATAATACATATGGTCAAAATAAGTTATGTTATAGTAAAAGTATTTAATGGGGCATTAGAATGTCAAGAACTCATATAGCACAATGGTTAAAAAGAAAAGGTTCCAGTGTGAGGCTGCCTATGGTCAAAGTTCTCCTCTGCCATTTAGCATCTATGTGAACTTGGGAAAGTCATACACCTTATGTATTAGTCTGTTTTCACACTACTATTAAAAATTACCTGAGACTGGGTAATTTGTGAAGAAAAGAGGTTTAATTGACTCAGTTCCACAGCCGTAACGGGAAGCATAATTAGGAGTCCTCAGGAAACTTAACAGTTATTGGAAGGAGGAGAAGAAGGACATTCTTCACATGGAGAGCAAGGGGTGAAGTGCCACACTTTTAAACCATGGAAGGTGGTGGGAGAAGACTGGATCATGGGGTAGGATTTGTCCTATTCTCATGATAATGAGTGAGTGAGTTCTCAGATGATCTGAGAACGTACTGTGTACATTTTTTCAGTTCTGAAGGCAATTTTTGAGCCCCCACGAAATACCAGATATCAAACCTGCCCTGGGAACACAAAGATTGCAGCATTTAGTGAGGATGACACGTAAGTGGGCATGCACTGTCCTAAATGTAAGGCTAGCTCTCTATAAATGCTTGGAAGTACTGAGGAGGAGCGAGCACGTAATCTAGAGCAGGGTCAGGGCATGTCAAAAAGACAACCTAGAATAGATTATTTCTAAACTCAATCAGAAAGGATGATCCAGCCAGGGAGAAGGAAGAGAATATGAGCAGTGGCAAACATGCATGGTGAATATAGAGAATTACAAGTATTTTGAGTTAGTAGAGGATAAAATGTAAAGCGGAATGACCAGGGATCTGGCTAGAATGGTCAAGTAGTTACCAGATGATACTATATCCTATAGGCAGAACTCTTACCAGGGCCATTCTTAGCTGGTTTTAGGTACCTTTGGGTTGATTACACATACCTTGACCGGTCAGATGCGTCCAGGGAAGAAGGATTGCGTGACACAAAGCATAGTGACCTGAAACTGTAAGGAATTGCTCAGAAGGGGCAATGGGCAACTGGGCATGACATGTACTTTGTTATTTCTCAGAAGAGGATAATGCTGGAAGGCTCAGTATATGGTTGGTCTAAAATGGAGGGATAGTAGAAGCCAAGCCAAGCTTGGAAACAATGAATTTTTTGTGGTGTCATCCTATACAGCTATGTGGTCTTCCTAAAGAGCTTTGTCATGGCACCAGGAAGATTGACTTAAACATTGTTTTAATTCTTATTTTTGATAGCTAATCATTAAAAAAATAATGGAAGGTGTTCGTAAATAAATAGCTTCAGATGATTAGCTATGGAATCTAGGGAGAAGGAAAAGAGAACAGGAAAAAAACAAGGGACAGAGAGAAAATGAAGTGGTCCAGAAAGTAGAGGTTTCTAGGTTGAAGAGCAGATTCTTGTGGAAAAAGAGATATATGAAAGACATGTGATTAGGGAGAAAATCAGAAGAAAATTACTGTCTAAGATGTCTGAGATGAAGGATCTCTGAATGATGATAAGGTCTAGTGTGTAGATAAAAGAGTGGGTGGCTGAAATGTAGAAGAATGTGAAGCCAGATCCTCATCTCTCACCTTATACAAAAATCAACTCAAGATGGATCAAAGGCTTACATCTGAGACCTGAAACCATAAGAATTCTAGAAGATAACACTGGAAGAACTCTTTTAGACATTGACTTAGGCAAAGAGTTCATGACCAAGACCCAAAAGCAAATGCAACAAAATCAAAGATAAATAGATGGGACCTAGTTAAACTGAAAAGCTTCTGCACAGAAAAATAAATTAGAATCAGTAAATAGACAACCCACAGAATGGGAGAAAATGTTTGCAAATCATGCATCTGCCAAAGGACTAATATCCAGAATCTGGAACTCAAATCAGCAAGAAAAAAACAAATATCCTCATCAAAAAGTGAGCAACGGACATGAATGCACAATTCTCAAAAGATGATATACAAATGGCCAACAAATATGAAAAAAAAATGCTCAACATCACTAATTATTAGGGAAATGCAAATCAAAACCACAATGAGATACCCACCTTACTCCTGCAAGAATGGCCATAATTAAAAATTTTAAAATAACAGATGTTGATGTGGATGTGGTGGGAAGGGAACACTTTTACACTGCTGGTGGGAATGTAAACCAGTGCACCCACTATGGAAACAGTTTAGAGATTCCTTAAAGAATTAAAAGTAGAACTGCTATTTGACTCAGCAATTCCACAACTGGGTATCTACCCAGATGAAAAGAAGTCATATGAAAAAGACACTTGCACACACATTTATAGTAACACAATTCACAATTGCAAAAATATGGAACTAGTCTAAATGCCTCTCAACTGAGTGGATAACACACACACACACCATGGAATGCTCAGTAACATATATATATATACGTATATATATATATATACGTATATATATATATATACACATATATATATACGTATATATATATACGTATATATATATATACACACACACACATACACACACACGCACGCACACACGCACACGCCACAGAATACTACTCAGTCACAAAAAGAAACAAAATAATGGCATTCACAGCAACCTGAATGTAGTTGGAGACCATTTTTCTAAGTGAAGTAACTCAGGAATGGAAAAACAAACATTGTATGTTTTCACTTATAAGTGGGAGCTAAGCTGTGAGGACACAAAGGCATAAGAATGATATAAGAGACTCTGGGGACTTGGGAGGAAGGGTGGGGCATGAGGGATAAAAGGCTACACATTGGGTGTAGTCTCTACTGCTCAGGTGATGGATACACCAAAATCACAAATCACCACTAAAGAACTTTTCCTTTCAGTTGAACACGACCTGTTCCCCTAAAGTATTCAATAAAATAAAAATTAAATTAAGAAAATGAGTGTGTGGAGAGACGACATGCAGAAATGGCACACCTCAGGTGACTGAAGGAGAGAATGTATTTGGTGTCTGCCATATCTTTGCATCCTTTAGTGACACTTTTGTTCATGTCACTGATCTTTCTGGCAAAGCAACCATATGCCATGTGACTGGTGGGATGAAGGTAAACGCAGACCCCGGTGAATCCTCTCCATATGCTGCTATGTTGGCTGCCCAGGGTGTGGCCCAGAGGCTAAAGGAGCTGGTGACACTGCCCTACACATCAAACTCCAGGCCACAGGAGGAAATAGGACCAAGATGCCTAGACCTGAGGTCCAGTCAGCCCTTGCCCCCTTAGGTATATAGACTGGGTGGATTGAGGATGTCATCCCCATCCCCTCTGACAGCACATGCAGGAAGGGGGCTCACCATCTGTGAACAAGACTCCTCAAAATATTTTCTGTTAATAAACTGCCTCATGTTAAAAAAAAAAAAAGTGAGTGTCAGAGGGGAGGATACTGAGTAATGGAGTCAAAGATGAAGCTAGGGTACCATATATCACTATTGGTTATTTTCTAGTATGGTGTTAAGAGACAGAAAGATTACAAGCTAGGAGTTAAAGTTCTTAATGAACAAAGGAAAGTGAAAGAGAGATGAAGAATCCTAAATCAAGATGGCATATACTTCAAAAAATATGTATTTACTCCATGATTTTATGGAATATCAGTTTGGAAACAATGATGGTAATCTAGGTAAAGTCCAGCTACCTCTTCCCGAGTACCACTGAATATTGGGTAATGGAGAACAAAAACTTCAACTAAATAGGGCTCTGGGAAAACAGTTTCTCAGGTTAAAACTATGCTTCACTTACATCAAGGAGATGACAACAAAATTTTAAAAGGTTTCACTACCTCCATGAAGTATTACTGACCATTCTCTGCAATCTTAACCTTTTCCTTATCAGTATTCCTAAATCAGCCATAATTTCATGTATATATTTATTGAGGACTTACTGAAGCTTAAACACTGTGGTAGATGTTAAGGTAAATACAACACTATGCCATCCCCTCAGAAGTTTAAATGCAAGATTTCTTGTTTCCAGATAGGAAAGCCTCAACTTTAATTTATGAATTGCTGGAGGCTTAAAGTCTGAGAGAGAAAACTGCAGGAGTATTCATTCATGGGGAGGCCACAATTTTTAAAAA